TGAATTCCACTTAATTCCCTCATTTTTGTGGGTTATAGCCCACGCTTTCCGCATGGGCCCGACCCTCTAACTCGGATCACCTAACATTTCTCGAGCCATTAAAATGACCTAAGGATCCATAGTCAACGCCCCGATGTGATCGTCCCTCGTTTTTTGGTGTTTTACGACCATAAAACTTGAATTCTGCCCGATTCCCTGATTTTTGTGTGCTATAATAGCCCACGCCTTTCGCGTAAGCCCGACCCCCAAACTCGGATCGCCTCGAATTTTTTCTGGCCATCAAAACTGACCTAAGAAACCATAGTCACTGCCCCACCGTGCCCGTTCTTCATTTTTTGGCATTTTACGGTCATAAAACTTGAATTTCGCGTGATTCCCCCTCATTATCGTGTGTTATAGCCCACGCTTTCCGCGTAGGCCTGGTCCCTAGACCCAGATCGCCTCAAATTTTCCTGGGCCATCAAAAACGACCTAAGGAACTATAGTCACCGCCCCGTCATGATTGTTCCTCGTTGTTTGGCATTTTACGGCCATAAAACCTGTATTCCTCGTGATTCCCTGATTTTCATGTGTTATAGCCCACGCCTTCCACGTGGGCCTGATCCCCTAAACCCTGATCGCCTCAAACTTTTTCATATCATCAAAAACGACCTAAGGAACCATAGTCACCGCCCCGCAATGACCGTTCTTCATATTTTGGATTTTTACGGCCATAAAACTTGAATTTCACCCGATTCCCTCATTATCGTGTGTTATAGCCCACGCTTTCCGCGTGGGCCCAGCCCTCCGGACCCGAATCGCCTTAAATTTTTCAAGCCCATCAAAAACGACCTAAGGAACCATATTCACCGCCTCGCCATGACCGTTCCCCATTGTTTGGCATTTTACGGCCCTAAAATCGGTATTATGCCCGATTACCCTGATTTTCATGTGCAGCCCACGCCTTCCGCGTGGGCCCGGACCCCAGACCCTGATCACCTCAAATTTTTTGATGTCATCAAAAATTACCTAAGGAACCATAGTCACTGCCCCTCAGTGACCGTTACTAATGTTTTGGCATTTTACGGCCATTAAACTTGAATTCCGCCCGATTCCTTGATTTTAGTGTGTTATAGCCCACACATTCCGCTTGGGCCCGGCACCCCGGACCCGTATCGCCTCAAATTTTTTCGGGCCAGCAAAAACAAGCTAAGCAATCATTGTCACCGCCTCACCGTGATAGTTTCTCTTTTTTTGTAGTTTTACGGCCATAAAACTTGAATTCCGCCAGATTCCCTAATTTTCATGCGCTATAGCACACGCCTTCCGCGTGGGCCCGGACGCCCAGACCCAAATAGCCTCAAATTGTTCCGGGCAATCAAAAATGAGGTAAGGAACAATACTCACCGCCACGCCGTGACCGTTCCTCATTTATTGGCATTTTACACCCATAAAATTTGAATTCCTCCTGATTTCCTGATTTTCGTGTGCTATAGCCCACACCTTCCGCGTAGGCCCGACCTCTTGGACCTATACTACCTCAAATTTTTTTGGGCCATAAATATTTATCTAAGGAACCATAATCACCGCCCATCTGTAACCGTTCCTTGTATTTTGGCATTTTACGGCCATAAAACTTGAATTCTGCCAAATTCTCTAATTTTCTTGTGCTATAGTCCACGCCTTCCACGTGGGTCCGACCCCTGGACCTGGATAGGCTCAAATATTTTGGGCCATCAAAAACGACGTAAGGAACCATAGTCACTGTCTCTCCATGCCCGTTCCTTACTTTTTGGCGTTTTACGACCATAAAACTTGAATTCCGCCTCATTCCATGATTTTCATGTAATATACCCCACGCGCCTTCCACGTAGGCCCGGTCCCTCGGACCCCGATCGTCTCAAATTATTTCGACCTATCAAAAAATGATCTGAGGAACCAGTTACTGCCCCGCCGTGACCGTTCCTCATATTTTGGCATTTTACGGCCATAAAACTTGAATTTCTCCCGATTCCCTCATTTTCGTATGCCATAGCCCAGGCTTTCGGCGTGGGCCCGACCCCCGGACCCGGATTGCCTCAAATTTTTCTGGGACATCAAAAGCAACCTAAGGAATAATAGTCACTGCCCCATGACCGTTCCTCATTCTTTGGTGTTTTACGGTCATAAAACATGTATATTTCCCCATTCCCTAATTTTCGTGTGCTATTGCCCACGCCTTCTGCGTGGGCCCGGACCCCGGACCCGGATCGCCTAACATTTTACGGGCCATCAAAAATGACCTAAGGACCCTTAGTCAATGCCTTGTCGTGACCGTTCCTCATTTTTTGGTGTTTTACGGCCATAAAACTTGAATTCCGCCTGATTCCCTGATATTTGTGTGCTATAGCCCACGCCTTCCATGTAAGCCCGACCCCCTCGAATTCGGGTCGCCTCAAATATTTTCATTTCATCATAAACGACCTAAGGAATCACAGTCAATTCCCCACCGTGACCGTTACTTGTTTTATGGCGTTTTACAACAATTAAACTTCAATTCCGCCAGATTCCTTAATTTTCATGCGCTATAGTCCACGCCTTCCGCATGGGCCCATAACCCCAGACCCGCATCGCCTCAAATTTTTCCATGCTATCAAAAACGACATAAGGAACCATAGTCACTCCCTCGCCGTGACTGTTCCTCGATTTTTGGCATTTTACGGCCATAAAACTTGAATTCTGCCCGATTCCCTCATTTTCGTGTGCTATAGCCCACGCCTTCCGCGTGGGCTCGGCTCCTAGACCCGGATCGCTTAACATTTCCCGGGCCATAAAAATGACCTAAGGACCATTAGTCACCGCCCCGTAGTGACCAATCCTCATTTTTTGGTGTTTCACGGCCGTAAAACTTGAATTCCGCGCGATGTCATGATATTTGTGTGATATAGCCCACGCCCTCTACGTAAGCTCGGCTCCCAGGACTCGGATCGCCCTAAATATTTCCGGGCTATCAAGAACAACCTAAGGAATAATAGTCACCGCCCTATGACTGTTCCTCATTTGTTTGGCATTTTTCGGCCATAAAACCTATAATCTACCCGATTCCCTAATTTGTGTGCACTATAGCACACGCCTTCCGCGTGGGCCCGACCCCCCGGACCCAGACATGGATCGCCTAACATTTCCCCCGCTATCAAAAATAACCTAAGGAACCATAGTCACTGCCTTGCCGTGACCGTTTCTCATTTTTTGCCGTTTTGAGGCCATAAAATTTGAATTTCGCTCGATTCCCTGATTTTCGTGTGCTATAGCCCACGCCTTCCGCGTAGGCCTGGCCCTAGACCCTAATCGCCTCAAATTTTTTTTATGTCATCAAAAACGACCTAAGGAACCACAATCACCGCTCCGTCGTGACCGTTACTTATTTTTTGGCGTTTGACGGCCATAGAACTTGAATTCCGCATAATTCCCTAATTTTAGTAAGCTCTAGCCCATGCCTTCCGCTTGGGGCCGGCCCCCAGACCCGGATCACCTCAATTTTTTTCGGGCCATCAAAAATGACCTAAGGAACCATAATCACCTTCCCGCAGTGATAGTTTCTCATTTTTTGGCGTTTTACGGCCATAAAACTTGAATTGTGCCAGATTTCCTGATTTTCGTGCGCTATAGCCACGCTTTCTGTGTGGGTCCGGACCTCCAGACCCGGATTGCCTCAACTTTTTCCGGGCGATAAAAAATTATGTAAGGAACCATAGTCATTGCCCCGCGGTGACCGTTCCTCATGTTTTGGCATTTTACGGCCATAAAACTTGAATTCCGCCCAATTCCCTCATCTTTGTGGGTTATAGCCCACACTTTCCGCATGGACCCGACTCTCGGACTCGGATCGCCTAACTTTTCCCGAGCCATTAAAACGACCTAAGGACCCATAGTCACCACCCCAATGTGATCGTTCCTCGTTTTTTGGTGTTTTACGGCCATAAAACTTGAATCTCGCCCGATTCCCTAATTTTTGTGTGCTATAATAGCCCACGCCTTCCGTGTGGGCCTGACCCCCGGACCCGGATCGTCTCAAATTTTTTCGGGCCATCAAAAATTACCCGAGGAACCATAGTCACTGCCCATCCTTTACCGTTCCTCATTTTTTGGCGTTTTACGGCCATAAAACTTGAATTCCACCTGATTCCCTGATTTTCGTGTGCTATAACTCACACCTTCCGCGTAGGCCTGACTCTTGGACCCAGATCGACTCTAATTTTTCCGGGCCAGAATAACCATGGTCACCGCCCGTCATGACCGTTCCTTATTTTTGGCGTTTTACGGCCATAAAACTTGAATTCCACCTCATTCTCTGATTTTCATGTGCTATAGCCCACACCTTCCGCGTGGGCCCGACCCCCGAACCCGGATCGTCTCAAATTATTTCGGGCAATAAAAAATGACCTGAGGAACCATAGTCACTGCCCCACCGTTACCGTTCCTCATTTTTTGGCGTTTTGCGACCATACAACTTGAATTTCGCCCGATTCCCTCATTTTCGTGTGTTATAGCCCACTTTTCGCGTGGGCCCCGCCCCCAAACCCGGATTGCCTTAAATTTTTATGGGCCATCAAAAATATTCTAAGGAATCATAGTCACTGCCCCGTGATCGTTTCTCATTTTTTGTCGTTTTACGGCCATAAACTTGTATTCTGCATGATTCATTAATTTTCGTGTACTATTGCCCACGCCTTCCGCGTGGGCCCGAACCCCGGACTCGGATCGCTTAATATTTCCCGAGCCATAAAAAACAACCTAAGGACTCATAGTCACCACCCCGCCGTGGCCGTTCCTCGTTTTTCGTGTTTTACGACCATAAAACTTGAATTCCTCTCGATTACTTAATTTTTGTGTGCTATAACCCACGTCTTCCGCTTAAGCCCGCCCCCATAAGTAGATATAGTGCTGGTATAAAAATTTAATACCACCACCTTAAAAAGTTTCCCAACTTGTCCAAAAGAACAAGATTTTCAAGCCATATGGAATTTGCTTTCTTTGGGCCGAAAAAAGGAGTTATGGAGCAGCTCAAGTAGCCTGATAGGCAGGCCCAGCTAAAGAGTAGAAATAGCACTTGCTCTACCATTCGGCCCGCTCTTTGCCGCCTCCTTTGAAACCCTAGTAAGTGCTCTCTCCTCAGCCTCTCTTTCTCTCTTTCTTGGTTTTGGGTTTAAGCTAAATTGAAAAGGTATTTTTGTTGATTGTATACAGGAAAGTGTAACTGTAGAGTAAAGGAGTTGGAGCAGCAAAAATGTCGGACAAAACTAAAGGAAGAAAAGAGGAAGTGGTTACTAGAGAGTACACCATCAACCTCCACAAGCGCTTGCATGGCTGGTATGTATTATCTTTTTATACTTGAGGGTTATTTGACTTAGGATTCTTATTAATCCTGATTTGATATTCAGTTTCATAGTCTGAATCAGTGTTTGGTTATTGTACCCAAATCAGATCATTTATTAAATAAAATATCAAGTACTTAATTTAATAAAGCTGATTAATTTTGTCTATTTTATGATTATCGTTTATCTAATTAAGCTGAAGAAATCAGGCACTTGATCATCAAGCTATGTTGTTTTCATTTTCAATTTTTAGTACCTGACTTTTGCTAATCCGTTTATGTGTATGTAAATGTATGATAGTATTGGGGATTTTTGAGTTTTATAGTGTGATGTTTAGTTCAGATACCCAAGGAAAGAAACTAGGTCGCCCTTGTGTGCTTGCATGAGCAAAATTTTACTAAACACTGATGAACTGTTAACAAAATTTGTAAAATTGTGGAAAAGAAAATCTGTGAATGGAATTGAAAGGCAATAAAACTCATCTAGGAGCTTTTAGGAAGAGAAGGTTGACATGCTTCAATACTGTTATACACCAAAATCACTTCTTTCAAGCTTAATTATCAGTTATTGATTTAGCTGAGTAGAATGTTTGAAACAGAGACAGTCTAGGTACAGTTTGATCTTTTAGCTTCTGTCAACCAATCAAAGTACCATTATTTCACAATGTTGGTATGGTTGTGATTTTTCTATTTCTAAGTCGTTTGAATGGAGTGTTCGTATTGAAAGTAGCAAAAAGTGAGCAAATAGTAGGAGCTTCTAGTTTTCAGTTATGTTCAAAGAATATAATTATGTGATGCAAAACCTTATGTTGTGAGCAGCTTGGGACCCAATTACTGACATATGTTCAAACTCGCATGCTACAGAGTATTTCCTTGCCTCAATTGCTCTGTTAGCAAAAGTTCCTAAATTCGTCAAAAGAAAAAATCTCTAGACCAAACGAGCAGGAGCTGAAATTTGAGACCCATAAACATAACATCATAACCTTTCAAATGGAGTAATTTGGAAGACAGTGTTACATCAGAAGAATTTGAGCTATCATTTCATGTGTTAGTGACCATTCAAGTATAAATTATGCTGTGAGCGGACTGCCTGACTATAGATTGGTGTTTTGTTAATAGCACATTCAAGAAGAAGGCCCCTAATGCTATCAAAGAGATCCGTAAGTTTGCACAGAAAGCAATGGGAACAAAGGATGTCAGAGTGGACGTGAAGCTGAACAAGCTCATCTGGAGCAGGGGAATCAGAAGTGTTCCAAGGAGGGTCAGAGTTCGTATTGCTCGCAAGAGGAATGACGATGAAGATGCGAAGGAGGACCTCTACTCTTTGGTTACAGTAACTGAGATCCCACCAGAGGGATTGAAGGGGCTTGGCACTAAGATCATTGAGGACGAAGATTAAGCTATCTATCAGTAGTGGAGAATGATTAAAAAAAAATACATGATGTTTTTGTAATTCTTTGAGACTGATCAATTTTGTTAGGAAACTTAATTTTGTTTTTTTGGATCATCCTATTTGCCATCAGTTTAATTGAATCATCTTTTCTGTTCTTCATGGTTTAAGTATCACTGCCGTCATTACGTTTTGTTATGTTATTACTTGTTGCTTTTGTTTCTGAATGTAGTACCTACTGTTACTTTTGTATTTTTGCTTCGGTTTTCCGATTGGTATGCTTGTTGTCCTTTTACCTTTTTTGAGCCGAGGGTCTATCGGAAATAGCCTTTCGGCCTTCTTGAAGGTAGGGGTTAAGGCCTACGTACACTCTACCTTTCCAAGACCCCACTAGTGAGATTACACCAAGTGGTTGTTGTAGTCATTACGTTTTGGCTGCTTAACGAGGATTTGGATATGTTCTCTAATGGGTTAGTAATTGCATGCTTTGAGAATCTCTTGTAACAGAATCTACAATTTTGGTACATAATTACAGCTAAAACTCGTATATGGAAAAATTTCTTCAATATCATTTCTGTAATCTTCATTGTAAAACCAACACTCAGCCCTTATTTTCCAGGCTAAGTTGACGTAAAATGAGCAGAAATTTTAGCAAATGATGTGTAGGTTATAGCAACTACAGCCCCGACACCCGACCATATGACTCAGGGCTTCAACTTAGTGGTCATCAACAACAAAATTAACTTCTTTGCTTAAATTGATCTTGCACAAAGGAACTAGCTTGACTGTTACACATTGGTCTTTCACTGTAAAAGTATAGTTCAGCTACTCAATAACATCTATTTTCTCAGACAAAATCAATTAACATTCAGAAGGAAGTATGTTATTACAATCAGATCACCGACCTATATTTGCAGATCTTAGAAGACAAGTTCATGTACAAAGAGCCCAGTGAAGTCGAGAACCCGAATAACAAGTAACTTGTGTGAGGAATAAGAACATGCACAGAAGTCACCATTTTGTTGATTGGCATTTAGCAGCTTTGCTACCATCATTGAGGTAATGTTGGAAAGTCTGAATAACTTCCTCATATGTTGGCCTCTTGTAGTCTACGGCCTGTTATCAGAAACACAAGGTTCCCAAGTTAGATTTTTGACATGCATTAAAGTGTATAGAGAATTGTAGTGGCTAGCCACTTCGCCAAACACCTGTTCAATTACTTCTTCTGGCCTCGCCCATTTCCACTCTGAGAATTCTGCCTCTGCTTCACCAGTCGCTAAGTTTATCTCACTTTCATCGTTGGTAAATCTCATAAGAAACCTGCCAGTCACAATTATTTTCTTAAGCCAAGTTTAAGTTACAAACAGATATCTAACAATAGCAGAAATCTGGCATTTTGGCAGAAAACTAGACAAAGCTTATGGAATACAATTGTTTATATACTTCTCTTGTTTAATGAGAGGTGAATCCAAATCAAACAACAACAACAACAACAAACCCAGTGGAATCCCACAAGTGGGGTATGGGGAGGGTAATGTGTATGCAGACTTTATCTCTACCTTCTGACGGTGGAGATGCTATTTCCGATAGACCCTCAGTTCAAGAACAATGAAAGGAAGCAATAACCAATTAATAACAACAAGGTAAAAGGCAGCGGCAAATCCAAATCATAATCAAGTAAAAAGCAGCACTGATACTAATCATTTAACCAAAGTACTTGACACAGTTCAACCACTAAGTTGAAAGAAATTATGCAGAATCCTCATTTTACAAAAGCAGAACTGCAGAAGTAGGAAATCTAGATCTAATTGCAGGCTGTTGCTTTACCATTACCGATCCCAAGTTCATTGCTGACCCTTTAAGTAATTAATCCATTAGCTCCCTAGGCCACAGATCCTTCAATTGTCTTGACCTATCCGTATCGAATGGGTGTGAAACGTCGTAGAGTACGTCTTAAGAAAATCTTCAAAATATACACAAAATTAGAAACAAAACTAGATGTACCTATGGGATTCTTGTATACACGCTTACCAAATACAGGTACATGTTCCCGAGTCCATGTAACATAGTTAGCCCCTGGTAATACAGGAAATATTTGATTTAAACTACATCCGCTTCCAAGTCCCAAAATTAGTACAAGACATATCTATTGCTGTAGCACTCCATACTTCTTTAACGCGGATGAAACTCCTTACTTAGGGTGACATAATTCACCAGAGGATAGACTAAGAGGTAGCTCCACTTAAAGGAGAAATTTTCCTAATACCTTTTCTAGTGCTGTAACGACCCGACCGGTCGTTTCGAGAGTTATAGCCCCGTTCCCCCACTTTTCTGCTTCTTTTGTGCTTTACAGCTGTATTATATCTTACCGGGTTGGTTGGTTCGGGTCCGGAGTGGTTTCGGAGTGAATTGAGACACTTAGTCTCTTATTTGGAAGTTTAAGTTGGAAAAGTCGACCGGATGTCGACTTGTGTGTAAACGACCTCGGATTTGAATTTTGGTGGTTCCGTTAGCTCCGTTAAATGATTTTGGACTTAAGAACGCGTCCGAAATGTGATTTGGTGGTCCGTAGTAGAATTAAGCTTGAATTGGTGAAAATTGGAATTTTGGCGATTTTGACCGGCAGTAGAAATTTTGATATCGGGGTCGGAATGGATTTCCGGAAGTTGGAGTAGGTTCGTAGTGTCATTTATGACTTGTGTGCAAAATTTGGGGTCAATCGGACGTGGTTTGATAGGTTTCGGCATCAGTTGTCGAATTTGAAAATTTCAAGTTCTTTAAGTTTGAATCGGAGGATGATTCGTGATGGTTGTTTGAGGTGGTTTGAAGGCTCGACTAAGTTCGTATGGTATTTTGGGATTGATTGGTATGTTTGGTTGAGGTCCCGGGGGCCTCGGGTGTGTTTCGGATGCTCAACGGGCCATTTTGGACTTAAGGAAGATAGCAAATTTTCTGGTGTTTTGTTGCAGACTATTTCTTCATCGTGTTCGCGAAGAGGTCTTGCGATCGCGTAAGGCAATCTGAGAGGCCAGCTAAAGTTGTTCTTCGCGTTCGAGAATTTGAGGACGTGATCGCGTAGGTTGGTCAGGTTGTGCATCGCGAACGCGTGGGCTAGGCCGCGTTCGCGAAGAGTAAGTTAAGCAGCAGTGGAATTTAAGTGTTATTCTTCGCGAACGCGTGGGGTTGTTCGCGATCACGTAAACATGAGGGCTAGTGAACCGCGTAGGGTTAAATCCTGGGGCAGCGAAGTTGTTCTTCGCGATCGCGAGGCTATTTCCGCGATCGCGATTAAGAAATCACTGGACAGATTTAAAGGTTCAAATCGAGGGTTTTGAGTTCATATCACAAAATTTAATTGGGAGCTCGGTAGAAGGCGATTTTTGGAGAGATTCTTGCGTGGGTGTTTGGGGTAAGTGATTCTTACCTAGTTTTGGTTAATTCCCATGATTATGTCTTTAACTTCATCAATAAATTAGTGATTTGGAGTAGAAAATTGGGGAAAATTTGAGAAAAGTACTTAGGCCGAATTTTGGGGTTTTGATCGGGATTTTGGTATTGGATTTGAGCAAATTTGGTATGGTTAGACTCGTGAGTGAATGAGTGTTCATAATTTGTGACTTTTACCCAATTCCGACACGTGGGCTCGGGGAGGCTTTTTGAGCGATTTTCCAATTTCTTGCTTTAACTTTGATTTCGTTCGCTAGATTAGTTTCTTGTAATTATATTTATGTTATGTAATTGGTTCTGGCTAGATTTGGGCCATTCGGAGTCGGATATTCGTGGAAAGAGCATTATTTCGGATTGATTTGAGCTTGGTTCGAGGTAAGTGGCTTGCCTAACCTTGTGTGGGGGAACTCCCCGTAGGATTTGTACTGTTTTTGATATATGAGCATCGTGTAAGTGAGGTGACGAATACGTACACGGGCTAATTGTGTAAAAACCCGATTTTTCTACTAAGTAATACCTGATTTCCTTCTTATTTGAGTTTCATGAGCATGTGTAGTGTCCTGCTAGACTAGAATAGCATGCCTACTTGCCTTAACTGTTTACTTGAACTACATGCAGCATGTTTAGTGAATTTACCTGTCTTTCCTTAGCTGGTACTTAGGTTGAACTGTAGAATTTCGTGCCGTAACTATTGAATTCTATTGTTTGGCTGCATATTTACTTTGGGACTACGGAACGGTATTCCGGGAGATCCCCCTGTACTGCATATTTACTTTGGGACTACGGAACGGTATTCCGGGAGATCCCCCTGTCTTGAATATTTACTTTGTGACTACGGAACGGTATTCCGGGAGATCCTCCTGCACATTTACGTTTGGGACTACGAGACGGTATCTCGGGAGATCCTCTGTTGCATTTTTGTGTACTGAGCTGTTATGTTTTCTTCCTTGTTCAATTCCAGTCTTTATTATACTGCAATATTTCATTCTTGTCTTGCTATATTATTATATACTAGTAGAGCCCTGACCTCGTCATTACTTGACCGAGATCAGACTTGGCACTTACTGAGTACCATTGTGGTGTACTCACGCCCTTTCCTGCACATGTTTTTCGTGTGCAGATCCAGGTCTTTCTTACCATCCTCGCTCGTAGTTGCAGCCGCAGCTGTCAGAGACTTCAAGGTACATCTGCCTGCGCCCGCAGATCCTCGGAGTCCCCCTCTATCCCCTTATGTTCATTTTTCCTCTTTGTGTAGAAAAATGATGTATAGAACAGTTAAGACTTCTTAGTAGCTTGTGACTTACGGTGTTCCGGGTTTTGGGATTGTTTCGGACATTTCGGAAGTTGGTAATTGTATATGCCGAGCGGCATTTAGTTGCTTATTTAGATTATCGTTACTGTTAGTTGTTAATGATCATGCTTTTATTTTATTTCCGTAAGTGTTAGGCTTACCTAGTCGTAGAGACTAGGTGCCGTCACGACAATGCACAGAGGGGGAATTTAGGTCGTGACAAGCAATGTTGCTCGGACTCTCCAAAAGTGTTACCGCACCCGTGTCGAATCCTCCAAAAATGCAATAAATTTGGAGGATCCGATACGCACCCAACAACATTTTTGAAGAGTCCGAGTAACATACGTGACAAGTGCATTTGAGTGTGACTGATTCAAAATATAATTTAGGATGTAGGTTATCCCGAAAGGACCGTTATTTTTCT